TCCTGGCCTCCGGACCTACTTTGCAAAGGCAGCTGTCGCACGGGTTCCCGTTCACGCTGCCGGCCGGGTTACACTCGCAGCGGGCACAAACGGGAAACTCTCGGAATCCAAAAGCACAACGGTCACACCTGCGGCCTGCGAAACCCTTCTTACACGTACACTGACCTGCGCTAGCACCTGGCGCGCGCGCGCGCACACACACACACACACACACACACACACACACACACACACACACACAGCAGTTGCCGCCTGAATTTCTGATGTCAGGTTCGTATCACAAATGAGACGGCCTTCCCTGGGGAAATGACGAGTCGAACGCAACACATCTTCATTCCCGCTCAATGCAAAAGCGATCCAAAAGAGCTGCGCGTACTCCCGCAAGACTAGCGTCTCGCTATAAAAGCATTCCAAGAAGCCGCAGGCGGGCAAGCAACGAAAGCGTAAAAGTCACCTGGCAAAGCGTCTTCTCTGGCGCAGACGGGAGACTGGGCCCCTCTCGGATCACAACCGCACTCCACGCACGGCGACTCGGAATAAGGAGAAACCTAAAGTCGCCCGCGCGCACGACTTCAGTTCTTGCTTCTCTACGGCCGACTCGTTTGCGCGTGCCGCGTCGTTACCTGGGAAGGCCGAAAGTAACGGTCGGCGCAGGTCTCGCAGTTGATCCCGGCCGTGTTCTGCCGACATCGGGTGCAGACTCCGCCTCCGCGGCGGACGCCGCGGACGTTGACGCTCAATCGCAGATCGGCCACCGTTTGGTTGTAGAAACAGTCGCTGGCTTTGTTGTGACAGTTACACTCTGAGAGGCGCACCGAGACGTGGCCGGCGTTAGAGACGAGCGACGACGTTCGTCGGCGCGTACGCCGACGGCAATGAAACCGGAGTCGAGGAAGACGCGAGCGCAACACAAACGAGGACCGTTGCGGGGATCATCCAAAGACATTTTTGCTCTCAAGTCTTACTTTCGCACGTGTGCCCCTCAGAGATGGTGCCCACTCGCCATGGCCGCTGGTGGTAACCGGGGCAGCAGCGGTCGCAGCTCGCTCCGCAAGTGTTGTGTTCGCACACGCACTGCAGTTTCTGCGCACGCACGTCGGACTTGCGTGTATTTCTGAGAGAGGAGGAAAGGGGTCGGAACGAGAGCGGGGCGTTACCTTGGTCACGGGGTCCAGCGGGCAGCTCCGGGCGTGTCCGTAGCAGATGCACATTCCTCCCACGGAAATGTCTTTGACCGAGTAATAATACTGCAAAGACAACACGGGCGTTTTTCCTCCCGCAAACGACAGCCGTCGCGGCCCAATCGCGAGCCCGTCCTACCCGACGGGTCACGATGGGGTCCACGTCTCGAGGGTCGCGCGCGCTCAGAGTCATCAGGTCGGCGTTGAGCGTTCGGATTCGCTGGAACCGAAGGCGGATGAAGCGGGCCGAGGTGAAGTTCAAGAGTTCAGAGGTCAAATCGTCCGCCCCGGGTCGACTGTTAATCAGCGAGGTGTGAATCTGAGAGACAAAGAGCGACAGAGATGGGCGGGGGAGTGAAGAGACAGGTGGGGGGGGGTCTTCTACATCTTAGGCGGGCACCTCTCCGTGCTCCAGCGGCTCCAGCCTGGAATAGTAGGACGTGCAGATGACCTCCGAGTCACCTTTGTAGGTCGGGGGCCCGACCCTCGGGGCGACGTTGTAACGAGACAAGCACTCCGAGTCGCTGATGGCGTAAAACTGCCAGGGTTCAAAGGACACGCCGTCCGCCGAACGCTCCAGAATCCAGTTGCCTGCCAGGAAGACGGCCCGCACGTCTGCTAGCCGTCCGCGACAACCGACTTTGCCCGGGAGAGAGAAAGACGCACTGACCGGGTCGAGGAGAGTTTGCCGCCTTGACGATGACGTAAGCCACTTGGAAGACCTGCGAAGACAAGGCAGGCCTGACGACCCGCGACCCGCGCGCCGCGTTGTCCGCGCCCCACCTGTTTCAGATCCAGCGTGATGGTGACCCAGTGGAATCGCCGTCCGTTCTTGATGCTCGGACTCTGCCACCATTGGTTGGTTCCGTCGATGGCGTTCGTGATGGGATGGCGCTCTGGACAAAGTGGCATTTGCGTCAGTCCCCAGATCCAAAAGGGCTCGCCGGCGTTAAGCGGGAGTTCCATCCGCGCCCTCTTTGTCGTGGCAAAGCATTGCCGCGCCCTCAACTGACTTTGTACCTTTGGATAGAACGGAGTTGCCGTCGCACTTTGGACAATGAGGATTCTTAATCAATCGTCCGGGCACGTGTTCGACCAGTTTGCAGTAAACTTCTGCTTGCGGGTCTCCGCACGTGGCGTTGCTGGTGATCTCGGCGTTACTGGCCAGGTTCAAAATGGCCGGGAAGAGACCTGCAACGCAAGAAGCGTTAGCGGCCTCGAGCCGACTCCGATCGCCTGCGCCGTCGCCGCTTTTGCCTTCCCGCCCTTTTGATCGCAACTGATCCTTCGTTGTCATTCTGCGGGCGGACGGAAGACGAAGAGCGCGTCGTCGGGCACTCGCCGATCGCAACGGCGACATTCTTTCCCTACGTCGCACCGAACGGCATCCGTCCATCCGCGAAGTCGAGCGCTTCGTCCCGCGAAGGTCGCGGCCCCTCCCGGGCGTCTTCGGGCAGGGCGCACCCCCAACGGGTTGTCGCGGGGCGCGCGGAGACAAAGAACCACCCGCGCTGACGGTCGCACGGAGGGACAATTTGGAGCGCTCCGTGAACCCGCCGGCCGCGCATGTTTTTGGAACGCGGGAGCAAAGCCACAGGGAGAGCATGCCGACTCCACGCGGGGGGGGCGCCCTTTAACGGAAGCCCGCACCTCCGCACCGTGAGGCCGACGCGCTGCCACGTCGACCGCCGCGCCGCTCCGCGCAAAACAGCGCAGCGTCTCAATGCGATCGTTGCCCTTGAACATTCGGTTCCAGATGCCAGTCTAAATTTTTGGATCAATGCCCCCCCC